GGACACTGAAAAGGACATAAATGACCTGTTGTCCCCTGTCATTAGATATTGACATTTGGTTTGATTGCATGGGATCTTCACCCCATACATCTGTCTCCATATGTACTTGTTCATTTCCGGTTTGATGATACAGTTCATGGTGTCTGTCTCACATATACAATGTATTTAATCATCCTGTAGACGCCAAATATTTAAAACTTACATCCGATATTATCTCTCAGTTTTAACAAATTATTCCACGACTCTGATTTTTTTTCTCGAGGATAAACGTGTAATGGCATATTTTATTATTTATGCTTACTGAGAATGAGACTGGTTGTGAAACTATTTACAGCCATATCCGATTTGATTTAGTGTTACATACATACATAGAATATTAAACAAAACACCCGACGTGATAATTTTGCATTTAACATCAACACATACATATTAAAACGCTTTGTTATAGTTCAATAAGACGAGAAAATATTCAAGTGATACAAGTCTAATTAACCTAACAAATCATTCAGATACGATCGCATGTCGCGGAGTGATTCGGCCGTCCTCGGACCTTAATGCCCGACCAGGCATAACAAAGGGCGGGTAGGATTCGGTTCGAGATCATGCCGAGTTAGATTCGAACACATACATTTTTCTATCCTCTCGCACCTCGCAAACCTCATGAATTATGCTTGGCATTTACAAGTTTTATGTTTTGCTTCAGTATGATCAAATGTACAATGTCTGATGTCATATCGTATGATCTTGAATAAAGTGAGACAGAGTTGTTTTATTTAATATTTTACAAATACATTTCAAAAGGACTTTATAAGTTAGAGAACTGGTTTGTATTTGATATTCTAATTTCCCAAACTATCTAGTTCTTCGTAATATAATGGAATGGACTTGGATTGAGGCCAAGGACATTATTTCTGTGGACAACTTTACCATTTCAGTTTTACTTTAAACATGATGTAAAGATTACATGTGCTTAATAATGTATTTTTAATAAGGCTGAGGATTTTGCGATATCCTATTACACCAGGTTGATGTCAGCGCCCTTCCCTCCAAAGCTTGAAATAGATAACGAGTCTTCGGTTTTGAATTCCAGAGTAGCAATTTTAGTGTGAATTTTTGAGCAGTCAGATATGGTAATTTATAACATAAAACATTCTATCAGATATCGTATAGTGACGGAGACGTGATGGAGAGCAAATGGCTTCAACGTGACTATTTAAAAAAATGATAGAAACAAAGCACAAAATTGATTCAGCAATATATAATTTTGCAAATATCGTGCTTTTGTTTTTTTTGTTTAATGGGTCGCATTAATATCCTTTGGTTATTTCCAGGTTAAAGTCTTTCCGGGTAAATGTTTTTATAGTGTTTACACGAATATTCGATACATACAAATTGGACATTTGTCCTTTTTCTAATGTAGATGCCCGTCTTAAAGATGGTGATTGGAGATTAAGCCAGAACAAAGTAAAATATAAGTTTGGTAAAAAGCTGACAAATAAGTAATTGGCATTTCAAATAAATAGGTTTTCAGTCTAGGGATTTCTAAATAGTCTTTATTTTTCATTAACATCAATTGAATTACTGAAACAATACAACGGTATCATAAAACATCGAGAAGAAATGATGTTTTTTATTGTTCCCTGCCATTATGTTTGTATGACATAGTATTTCAAACAACAATACGAAACCAATACATACAGATTTCCTAAGATATTTTAAACAAAATGATCCACCAAGATACCTTTGCAGCATCAGGTGGCTTGAAAATAATCACCATCACTAGCATTACACAATGCACATGAATACGTACAGTAACTGTCATCCAAACCATTATACTATTTATACAGCTTACTTTTACTGATATTTCTAACACATTGACTTTAAAATAAGTACTGCTGTGAACAATGTGTGAAATTAAATACTAAAATTCTGAAATACAACCAAATATGATTGTTTTGAATATTTACATCTTATATCTACTTCCTATTTCAAACGTTATTTTAAAGCATTCTGGTGTAAATAAAAGCTCTAGATTGGCATAAATGCATTGCAAATTTCGCACAAAACATTAAAGTGCCATAATCGTGCTTGAAACGCTGCAGCGTCTAAAACATTTTATCCTTATATGTACATCAGAGATAATCTAACTCTGATAGATGATTCTATGCCATATCAGGTACACATTTTTTTCAGATGAGATAGCCGCAGCAATTCATGCCAAGTTAAGATGATTTCATGGATTACACAACTTAATGTATGTCTACAAGTATTGTAACATTTGACCTCATCAAATAATCTTTAAAGAAGTTATTCTTATTTATGTGGAGTTCGTGAAATTCTGTTCATATGAAGTGATTGTCAAATGCGGTCTAACATCTTCTGAGTGAACATAAGAGGGTATAATTCATAATCTTTCAGTTGATTTATATTTGAAATACCTTTTGATATGTGATAGAGATATTGAAGTGACATCAAATGTCTCCGTTGATAACTTTATCATCGGAGATAAAAAGGTTATGAAAATGTTTATAAAAATATGAAGTAATTGATATCAAAAGTCACATACCTGAAGACGACTGACATGCAACACACAGATGATTGTCTACGCTATCTCTAGTATCAAGTTAAATGCTTTGTGTGACTGTTTTGTCTAAATTCCTAACAATGATAAGACGTTGTTGTCTATATGTAAGCTTACACCACGTGATATTATTCAAATTTTATTTTGATAGGGTATGAATTAACTCAGGCAGATATTATCATGCGAATTCCCCAACAGATTCTTTTTTCTAAATTTTGCCGAGTATACAGTTTTGCCTTGTCATATTGTCATCAGGACAATATAGTTTAACATTGGGTGAAAATATGTACTTGTTTGATCTCAAGCACGTATACTCTATTGAAAAAGAGAAAAAAAATTGCTCTTCAAAACATGGACAAAAGTATAAAATATGAAAGTATATGCACTAATTTAATCTAATACTGCATACCCAAACGTACACGTGCTTCGAAACTGTAAATGCGATTTAACATAATACATAATAAAACTTGTGATACGGAAGTGATATGTAATGTACTGATTTGTTTTTATAAAATCAAGAAAACTAATGTAATTGAAAGATCAGATGAATTGAATTATGTGTAGGATATTCGAACAAGGCATGTCTTTTCATCCGTTGTGTTACAAGAGTGTAACGAGTCCTTATTAACATGAATTTATAGAATATCTGGATATCTTAAAAATTATATTTCTGAACAATTCACTAGAATTTCAATAGAATTAAGTGTTTTAGTATCAACTATTACATGTTCTACCTGTATATTCAATTATCTATAATTTTGACATTAATGATGTTGCTAATATGCACAGGTACATGTATCATGCCTTGTTCTCATTTTGTCGTTTCTTATCGATCTTATCATTGTGTCGTGCTATTATTAATATATCTATACAAAATTTATTTCAGATTAATAAAACACCAATCACATTCTCATTTTTTCAAAAGAGATAAAAAGTAGTTTCCCCTTCCGATAAAATTAATGACACCGACAGTTTCTAATCTACAGAACGAGGCGTGTGCTTTACAGTGCTAAAAGGAAATAGAGTACTACACAGTTTACCTATTTCATACTCCATCATTTAGGATACATGGAAAGTAGTACGAACCTTATTTGAATTCATTAATACAATAACACAGGAATCGAAGTTTCGTCACTAATTCTCTTTGCAATGGTTATTATTACACAACTTTTTTTATCTTTAAGCAAAATAGAAGGATTAAAAAAGTTCCTTTCTTTAAAACAACATGATGGAAAACAAAGCTGCAAATCATGATCGTGATAGCTGTTTTTGTGTATGACATTTCAAATTACTCACTTGATTGTTCATAAACATATGCAAAACCCTATAGTTTTGTTCTTTCATTCACCTAAATATGCATATATGTTTTATTCATGAATTAACGTATTCGCGATTAATGGATGACGTTTCAACGAAAAAGCAGTAATATTTCAAAAAGCATTTAAGACGGAAATTCTTGAACGAGTTTCCGCATAAATTAATGTCATGAAAACGAAATAATATAGAAATAAATTACAAGAAGAAAAAATGTTCTCCAGCGTTAATCGGAACATACATTGAATGTAGTTGATTTTATGTGTTATGAAAGTTGTTACACAATGGACACTCAGTGATATATTAAATGATATGCTATATATAGGAATCATTGTTTTACAGCCATTAGAATGAATATTTACACCAAATAACAGAAATGACTACGCTGACGAACTTCCATTTTTAACTTATTGACTTACTTTTATGGAGAATGGTTCCCATAAAATGATAAGATATATACATAAATTAATTGAATGTTTTCGAAACGTCGTGGTCGTAAGCGATCAATGTATGTTATAACTGCATTAGTTCATTTCACACTGTGTGTTAACCACTTATAATCCATACTGATATTAATTGTGAGCAATTCATTCCTTTCTAGATTGTTCGAATCATGTGGAAAGAAACGTTCCCCATTGCTCCTTAATATATTTTCCTTAGAAATGCCACCAGTTGCAAGTGTTTGATGATTGTATATTGTATAAAAATATAGTTAAAAGAAGGAAAGAGGTGAAGAAAACATTGCTTTCATCATTTGTTCCTTGGTACCTTTTTTTCTCTTTTTGACAACTTTATAACAAGAAATGTTAATGTTGGAATACAACTCATCAAAAGCATATTATACCATTACTCGATACCTCGAATCGGAAGAGTGTAAAGGTTATTGTAAATAGTACAGTATCGAGGTCTTTTCCTAATATTACCTATAGCTAGACACATGTAAAATTATCTCTTCCTTTGCTGTTTCAACGGTATTAATGATAGCTGTTTTACTTATATAAATGTAACTTAATTGATTTCAGCGACCACTGTTGCCCATCAAGTCAAATTATATACATTGATTCACTGCTTCAGAGCCTTTAATCCATAGCTATCACGGTAGCAGCTACGACACAATCACATTAACAACAACAATGAAAATAGCCAAAAATGATGCCTCAACTCTTAAAACACCATTTGTTTTAGATGCGGCCTCAAATTTGGCAAATACTGGGAACTGCTTGTCGTCTGATAGAAAAACTTCAATCTTGTTTGAAGCATGTTTTGCAACAGAGTCTGAGCATCGCACAAGAGGCTGCTGGAAAGAGGTAGGCCGTGACTGTTTACTTCTGATCGGGTGACTGTTCATAGTCCACTGACCAACATAGAGCAGTGTTTGGTGCTCTGACACAACCATTCGTAATATCTCGAATTCTACGTTAGGTAGTATGATGCCAAGAACGTCACATCCGCCTGTGCTAGTCACGTCCTGTTGTTCGTTTATTTTCCAAGCGTTTCGTACACCACAATGCCCGTCATACAAGCGTAGCGTATTCACCATTTGCTTATTCTTTGGGGTGACTTTCAACCTGATTAGTCTAAAGTTGTACTCTTTAGATCCTGGTATGATCTTAGACACTTTATCGCCTGTGTAAGTTCCTTTCACAGACAAAGAAAAGCTCCCCTTTCGGCAAATCGGATCCTCAAAAAAGTCGTATTGGCCCTGCCATGATTTCCCGTCCGAAAGAAATGACAACTTTCTAGTTAAAAATTGTCCATATTGTCTGGTCTCGCATCCAGTGCTTACCCAGTCTCCGTGCAAGCGAAACTTCGATGGTTTTTGCCGATCTATTTTCGGTGGGTAATAATCGTTTGAGTTTGCAATTCCATTGCAAATCTGGCAGGTCTTTGTCTGCGCAACAAAAACAAAACAATTCTTGAATATTTCAAGTTACATATTGAACACATTTATATGAAATATTTATCAATTTCAAAGCTCAATTAAACAAATATGTAGTGAGCATATTGCAAAATCTCATATAAAAGATAAGAATTAAAGATATCGAAGAATGTTGATATGATACTAGAGAACTACCTTTGATGATAAGACCCGACCATAAATAATTCAGTTTAATTCCTGATCTTAGAAAGTGGATTTTCCGAAGAAACTACAACATACATCAGCAATCCTCTCTTTCTAAATTATTAAAAATATCCACTGATAGTTTGATTACAAATTAGAAAGACTTTTAAAAATCATATTTTAAAACATAGGGTTTGAGTCATTTTTCTTAATTTCATTCATTAGTTCATTTATTTACTTAAAATGTTTCTATGCAGTTTTTAGCTCATAAAACCAGATGAACATTAAAATTCAGACATTCCTTTCTTTCCATTATTAATTCTGTCACATTTAAATGAAAGAGTAAAATTGTTGAAAATAATATGTTGAGTTAAATTAATAGAGAAGTTTTGTTATTCATGAAAATATGAAAAATGACGAGTAAGAATATTTCCGATTCAACATATGCGGGTGCATTTAGCGAAAAAAATTGTAACAAAGTAATATTCTTACGTTTAAGTTAAATTCTAAATACCGACTATGAAAAATGCATCCTCAAAACAAAATGAAATTTGTGACCGTCCGACTTTCAAAGTAAACATTTCTGGCATTTCTGTTTCGTAAAGCTTTGGAAAAAGTGCACCGTACCTAAGACTATTTTAAACAAAAGAATGAAAAACAGATAAGTGATATGATGAGTGGAAATAGTTTTAATTATTTTTCCGTGATGAAGACTGTTATAGAATTATGATGCTTAATTAAAAATGATTAAAATTGAGGATGAATTTGGAATAGGTGTCTATGCTGTTTAAGTTTAACAATATATGATAGACAACGACTGGCGCTGGAGGTCATGACAGTCTACCGTCGATATATTCGATCATTCCGTGTTCCAAATGTGGCACGCCAAATACAATTAGGATATATTGCTTGAGTCGTCGGTGACTAATTGATACCGATAGGTGGCGCCTCAAGCAAATAATTGTTACCGACAGGTGTCGCTTCAAGCATCTCAAGATATCTTGAGTAGACAGCCTAATCTTACGACCTTAGGATTGGACACATCCCATACCATACGGATGTACATTTCCACTAATTAATTTTCTCACATTAATAGACTCAGGTGCTATGTGGTCAGAGAATGTCTAGCTTCAATGCTATTATAGTTGATAATTTAATAGAAACACGCCTAGACTTCACCCTGGCCATTAATTATGGTGAAGTTAAAGATATCTTGAACACATATACACTTATGAAATATATTCCTTCCCTTTTCTACTGGTTGTGTTGGAAACTGGTTGTGATAAATGTGTTCCTAGATGCATGAATTGAGAATTTATACGTATATATATTTGCATAAACAAAAACATTTTCTGAAAGTTTCTATCCCTAATCGTCGTTTGTAATGTGAGCATTGTTTAATCCGTTGATATGCGGCCTTATTCAGGAATGACTGACCACAGCGAACAGAGTAACTACGTATGGATATGTAGGTGTACTGTGCAACGCATTATACCTACATGTATCAAGCGGTATTTTTACAGGTGCTATGACCCCCAACATAGTTGTTTATCTTCCCCTGATGAGGAGAGATACGAACAACATACACGGTAATTAGCCTCTCAAAGTCCCTGATGTTGATAAAGAAGGATGGCAGTTTTACGTGAAATAATTAGTTGTTGGTGTTGATATTCCCGAGATAATACATGAGTATTTTTGTTCGGAGACTCATATTTTTATTAAATGCTATTTTTTTTGATATAGAACAAGGATAAATGGCATATAACAGACGAATGTAGAGACTTATTATATCACAGGAACATATACAGATATGTTTCAACACAATGTTACAGCAATGTTGTATATCTCGAAGATATAGAGATGTGCTAAAGCACAAGGTTATCAAGATGTTTTAAAACACAAGGTTATAAAGATGTGCTAAAACACAAGGTTATAAAGATGTGTTAAAACACAAGGTTATAAAGATGTGTTAAAACACAAGGTTATAAAGATGCTGTTTTAAGAATGTTTTGTTTGAAAATTGGAGTACAGCAAGGGGAATTGTTTGTGTTCAACATCACATTTAACAGGAGAGATCTTTAAGAGAATATTTACTAAATAGGGACAGGTAAAACATGTGCACATATTAAATAACAGGTGGGATTATATACATATCTAACTGTTATAGCCCAACTAAGATATAACAGACATATTCAATGCGACAGGTCATTCTGTCAGGCTATGTACACTTACAAAAACACGTGCCCTTATCTTCTGATGTATCAGTAAATTCCTAATTATTATACTTAATTCAGAAATGTGTATAACTAATACCAACACTGAATTTCTTTTTGATCACGGATTAATATTTATCCAACATGTCTTATTTTCAGTAAAGGTTAATTTCGTTCAGCCTATAGACCACAATGTTTACCTTGGAATTACGGAGTGCTGTCTGATAGCTTGAAGGTCGATATGTATGGCGTTGTTTCCTGTCCGTATGAATATCTCCCAGCAATAGGTCCACTTCCTCAAAACTTTTGGAATAACGAGACGGATAAGTGCTGATTTTATTCTTGTCCACTGATCCACTTTGACGTCGAATTTCAACTCTCAAAAGTTGAAGTTCGTGAAATGTAAGATTGAACACATGTGTACAATCATAATCAACATTTCGATGTTTATAAAGTCTAAACTTCTTGTACGGGGGGAAGTTCATTATTTGATAACTATGGTATGGTTTCCAAGGATGACTTTTAACCTCTGGGCATTGTTCCCGTACTTTCCTTCGGAACTCCTTCGCAATTCGTTCCTGAAAAGGGATTATTGACACGTTGTGTAATCTATATTTAGCCTCCATAGCGCCCGGGACGATCCAAGACGGACGAAGCAGTTTGATGGTACCCTGAGCTTTGACACTGTAGAGAGGTACGGAACAGTCTGGACCAGAGTAGTAATATTGATGAAGTTGGAATTTACCACGTTTAAAACGATATTTCCTCAATAAAAACTCGGGACCCGGACGTATCTCACATCTGTGAAGAAAAAGTAAAAATATTAATTTTAAACTGGTTTTAAGATTTATTAATTATTTTTGAAATGTGTTCAAGATAAAAGAATTTTTCAAAAGTACATAACACAAAAGAGAGGAAGATACTGTACAGTGCACGGAAGGGAATGACATTGGTACAATATGGTGCAATATCAGAATCATCGAGATATGCTGATATACTGTTTCATACTTAGGAGTTCAACCATTCTTTTTAATATTTTACCGTCACTACAGTCGTTGAGGTTGTTGTCACTTTTTTTTCAAATTGACTTCGTCTTGACTGTTTATTTTTAGTTTTCAGGTTGTGTCTTTGAAATGTATTTTTCTAACTCTACAGCTGTAAAAACACCACATCGTTAAAGTATTTCTACCACAGGCAAGGCTACAGAGACTGACAAGCTGTATCAATCCGGCTGATTGAACTTTTTTACGACGTACCATGAAGAAATGCGATAACTAAAAAAAAAGCTTATTTTCAATCACATTTGAAAAATTGAAAACAAATATTTGAATTACAAGATTGGACTAGTAAAGATATTTCAATATATATGAATGTATTAAATGTTTATGAAATGCGATTAAGAGTAGTCACTGTTCTTATTTTATGTACATGGTAAATGTTACGGTAAAATGAGATACAGCTGAATATTTCAGAGTCTCATGCAATGGTCAAACACGATCATAATAAGACACAAAGTAAAGAGATATCATCTTGTAATGTTAAGGTGACGTTAATTCCAAACTATATAAAGCAAACGCCGTATATCACGAAAATCACTTGAATAATACATTGATTAATGCGTAAAGCAAAGGCAATTCAATTACATGTTACCTGACAGCTGATGGAAATGCGAAGATGAAATCAAAATCTAAGGTACTGATTAACTGGTTGGTACGATAACTGATTTTAAGCATCGTAATAATCTTAAGACATTTATAAAGACATTTTAAATCATTCCAAAATAACTTAGTTATTACGTTGATTTAGTGTGGCCTTTGTTGTCTGTTTTGACTTTTATGAGTACAACTACCGCAATGCTATTCTCCGTAAAACGATGAAATATGCACGTATTTTGCGGGGCTGCGCCTGTCGCTACCACCACACTTTGATACTATTGCTAGCATGGTGACCACACACGACGAAGCACCCTTAATTGGGACTTCACTAGCTATAGTTGTGTGTTAGAATGATGCACTTTTTACATCTACCTGACGGGCTGACCTTTCGGGACAATAATTAACACAAAGGCAGACATACCATTCATAATCTCCTTCAATCTGTACGGAGTAAATATGGCACTACATTTCTATTGGTTTTGTTGCGGGGATTTCGTATCTTATTTAACAGAATAAAACCTAACGAACAACTTTTGTTTTGCGATAAACGGTATCGTCGAATAACACTCAAAGAGATATAAATCGACCAAGAGTGTATTCACACGTTTTCATGAGGTTAGCCCATTGCCATTAATTATTCAAGGAATAACCAGACAGTTCGAGTCGGATTTATTCTTCTTTTAGAACGAACTGTTCGGGGAAGACGAATGTTTGTGATTTTTAATAAAAGAATGAAAAATGGTTGTCTGTGTCACGTAGAGTTTTCGGTTACACAGACGACCTCCCGTGATTATGTCCAAACATGGTAGATAAACGATCAGGTGATTTAAGAGATCTTTCAACTAATCTAACGACCATTATCCTTGCAGTTTTAATTAATATTTCTCAATTAAGGACTAATATTTTATCAATAGCATGGCCCAAATGCCATGCAATAATTCAGTGTACTTGTTGACAATATTGAGACTTACTATAATCATATACTTCAATCACTTCATTTTCACGTCGTGTTGAAAATTTCAGTGATTATATTAGTATTACGTCACTGATTTAAAAAATCTCATTAGCCAATATATTGAAAACGTAACTCAACATGGAGAGCTGATTCTAGCTTACTTTTCGGCGTCACAATCCCAAACTCTATTCAATCCTCGTCTTCCTTGAGTTATTAAATAGAACCTGTCGACATATATAGTGTTCTGGGAGAAAGTGAAACTCATGCGGGGGATTAGTTCATGATTACGTCACATTATTATAGTCTTACGGAAAGATAAAATATCTTGCCATTTAAAAAGCAGTTCATGCTGATTGCCCCTGTTGGTTATGCGTTGTTATTTTCCCCCGCACGTCCTGTAGAGAAGGAATGTGATGGTCAGAATAGGAGATATATAGCATTTCGGGGTCAGTTTATACAAACACTACCCGGGATCATCTTTTAAACAGTCTACCTCTCGATTTCACAGCTATCCTAGTCGAACATATCAAATGATTACCAACGTAGTATATCATGACCAAAGATCTAAAGTAAATCTGCCCTTTTCGCTATTGTAACCTAGGCTATCATGGAATTTGTTTATAATGGAAGCGCATCATGGACGTGATACTACATACCGTGCCAGTCAATGATACAGGGGGAAAATTAGACATCTCGAATTACCTCCAAATATCTCACTTCAAACACATGTCTTAAAGACGCTTGAAAATGATACCTTCTTAGCTATTGTCTGTAAAGCTTTCAATCTAATAGACGACTAAACTTAAATTTGTCTTCCGTCGCATGAAGATTAGAAAAATTAAAATCACAATAGTTTGAGTGTTTTTCGCCATTACGATATCCGATTTGCTGGCGCGGTCTGTAGGGAAGCGCTCCAGCCTTCTGTGCTTGAGTTACCTATAATTAATGCTTCCTAGCATAGCAAAGAGACACAGACTCATAACAGGTCTTCGAAGCGTTAGTGTGGATGATTTTATTAGTTTAGTGGTAAGATTTGTCACGGCTTTTCCGAGATATTTTCTGGACAATAGATTTCGATTCTTAAGCAATACAACTGGTAATTACATAGTCATTTTAACGAAATTTGATGGGGTCAATGTCACATCATGTCTGCTTTCACCCTTCGCATAGACACGATTATAGGTACATATAAACGTACAAATTGTACCTTAGTGTGAGACAGTCCCATAACAAAATATGTAGGTTGTAGGTTGTAACCCGGATCCGATCATTATACCGAAGATTTTCAAATTAAAATACATGGTGCTTAGTCTTTCCCCTGCTAACCGAATTATTAAAATAGCTTTCAATTTAATAAAAAAAAATAGAGAAAACCCTTAATATGTTCCAGTTATAATATCTGTAAATATAGAATAACATGTTATTCGTAAGAAAAATCGTGACTTAATGAAGATTACAAAGAAGTTTGATGGTCGTCATTATGATCTCATTCAGAATTTTTTTAAATCCTTATACGAGTTTTCCTGCTGGTTCCGTTGTTGTTTACTTTGTTCTCATTTCGGAATGTGACAATTTTCACATTTGATGACCAAAACCGACATGTCGGGTGTCGTAGTTGAACAGAAGATGCCCTTCCGAAACCTCTGGTCAAATTATCCTTGTTTTTTGTATTTGCTTGTTGGTTTCTTTTCCTTTTGTATTTGTTTCTTTGTTTTAATACCCATTGGTGAATCATGTATATATATATATATATATATATATCTGCATGAATCTTGAATTGCAATATTAAAACCAGAAGTTACCGTCATAAGTTATTTAAATGTTTACGTATTAAGTACCACCTAACAGTTCCACCGACGATTCAATGGTCACAACTACATAGTCACACTTGATATTAAATACATGATGACACTTTCATTACCAAATTGAACGATATTCAGTTTTTCTGAAAACATCTACATATTTACTTTTGCTACTTTTTTCATTATAGAGTATCTTGCGTTACATTTAAAACATTTGTATTTGCAATAAAGAAACTTTCTGATCCTTCGAAGATATAAGGGCGAGCTGAGTTAATCAAAATAGATATAATAGAAGCACAAAAATTAACATTAATAGAATCGTTAAATCACATCACGTGTATAACTGGGTTGGGTTGATAAGTTATTTATTAAGTTATAGGGAACATAATCTTATTGTTTTTATCAGCTCCTCTTTGTGGTAAATTTGACTTTAAAATGTCGGATTCGCTCTGCATTATATATCATGTTGTCACAATTTTAACAGGACGGTTTTAGGATTTTAGATACACTTGATTTATTTGGGAAATGTTGATACATGAGTCATTAATCTTTGTATGAAAGAAATTATTGCAGGGATTGTTCGTTGAGACACTAGATGATATTAAGGCTTTTCCTTCTATGCGTCGTCACAATCATGCCATCGTTCAACAAGTAATTACATTGACATCCGTACTATTTCGTTTACACAGTAACCCTATTCAACGAACCATCGGTCATGCTACTCCTCTTTTGTAGTGTAATTAAATATAACTTTAAATTAGCTTATCATCATTGCTATATAATCACATATTGCCAAACGAAAATAGATTTATCAACATTGACAGATGACAAATTGTGTGAGCGTCCATCATTTTGATAGAAGTACAAACGGCAGAGATGGTACGTTACGGCTCATACACAAGACGTGATATCACCAGATGTATCTACTATTGGTGGCAAAAACTACGCCTCGGCGCTTAAGTATAAATAACCTTTCTAACTGCCTCCCTTTTTAAGAAACATGAATAATGTCGTGAAAGAGAGACTAATGTTCTACGAAAGGTTATCAGACACATGTGTAATTATAAATGAACACGACAAATTGAAACAGACACCTAGACTTAAAAATGGTGTTTTATTGACATTGATGAAAGGTGGTATTTGTGAATTATGTATATAAAACATTGCAAAGGAGGAAAAACCACGTATTTGAGATATTTAGATTTTTATTGCTATTTATCTCAATAGTTAAATTTGGCTTAACTATTTTTTTGCGAAAATCTTTTCCTTATCACCATTGATATCTTGTTAAGTTATGCCTTCACTTCTTCAACATTGCATGATCATAAAAACCTCAAAGTTACTATATCCATTTTACCGCGTACAGGGTAAACAAAGTCATTTAATCTTATCGAAGAGGTCTTTCAAGTTTTTTGTATGTATTCAAAAATATAATGACAAGCCATCACGTTGATAATCTGTATTTCACCTCAGTTTTATCACCATGAAATATCAGCGAATATTTAGCAGGTTATAAACCTGACAGCTTCTTCTTCATCCCCGAGTCTTTATCTGTTCTGTTCAGCAACGTTCACCTGGGGTTAAGCAGTAAAGGCAAACAGGGTTTGTATTCAGTGCAAGCCACGCGGTTAGTGTCCAAATTGATTATCTAAATCTGTCCTTGTACTTTTAAAGAGCATGTCTGGTTTGTACAAACTAGAGATGCAGATGGCAGTCTGCATCATAACATTCACACATATCAAAGGTAACACACCAAAACACGATCTTATTTAAAACAGAGAAGGGTTTGTTATAAGTAGTTCTGTGATGGCACATGAGAGTCATCAATGGTTCATTCAAAATCCACATGTAACAGTTGTAACAGTAGTCTGTGACCCATATAGTAAATGAATGTTATGTTTGATGTCTACAATGTCAGTAAACCACATAACAAAACAACTGCTGTTCATATTCACACGAGTTTGGTTTCTAACTAAAGATTGTACAGGTACTTACTGCCGATATGAATTCATTCTAGATGACAGTTACTAAAGTTATTAAACAGTAATCAACTTATATTTTCATTTTAATTATCATTTTGAAATATTTAATTAAGTTATAAATATTTGCTTACTGGCTGTTTACTGGAAGAGCTTCATGAACTTTATGCTATAAAATGGTCTGAGGCGTAGATCAACATGACGCTAACATCACGTCATGTTATTGTGTTGTGGTTTACAATGTATTAATATTCCTGTGAATACAATTATGATATTGACACTGTGTTAATGGGAGACAAACTTTTGGTTTTGAAATATTGTGAATCCATTCTACATATCAACCTTTATTAACTAAAAGTATGGTTTTATATAAAATGAAATAATTTTATTCAAGAACATTTTGTATAATTATTCTAAAGGCGTTTTTCATCCCGAAAATTGTTTTCACTTTCTTCTATATCTAGTTTTAGTGTTGAAATGTTAAGTTTTTTTTTTATCTACCAATCTATCATTACAAATCATACTGATGTTGTACTCTTACCAAAACAAAAACATATCGTAAATAAAACACATTATATTAAAACACCAGCCTGTTCTAATGTAATTGTTTTAAGAATCATCAATTTGATCAGTTTTGTAATGACTATCAAATAAACTATTTATGATTAAAAATCAAACGAAATGCTACGGATTCTCATACTGATTGCTGTTCGGCCTCCACCAATCTTTATTACTTACTGATCAGACACCCAGACTCCATGTATAGATGGGGGCGACGGGGCAGTGACGGGAAAGTCGCGGGCGTGGCGAGCAAGTGCCTTACATGACGGTGTTGGAGAGTTGTAGCTGGCTGTTCCTCCAATTAACGATATAGCCGAAACTGCAAGATAGTAACAAATAATAAATGACAATCATAATAAAACGCTTATGTCATTAATAAAGAACATGTAGATTCTTAGAAATGAAAGTAGTGTAGCATTCACATAAGCTAAAGTATTGTTAACTTCCCTTAAATCGTTTGACATCATTGTTATCAGCTTAAAAAAAACAAAGTTATCCTCAGCGCACATATTTTCAAGACAGTCCTAAGGCAACATGAGACATATGTCGAATGTTCGACATCTTGTCGAAAACAGGAAACTGGTTAAACTGCCTCACGACGACATTGTTGCATAATTAAAGCGCAAAATAAAAAACAAATTACAGTATCATGTTTCAGAACTCTTCAAATTAGTGTCAGTCATCTCATATTTTGTACACTTCCTCGTGCACCCTTTCTTAAATCAATGTCTCATTTACAGAAACACAACTGATAATAATTTGATCGAATTTTGCCAAGCTCATTTTGGTTGTGTATTTGAAAAGCGAAGTTTATAAGATTGCCTCTCTTTGATTTACTTTCACCGTATAGTGAGTGAATAGGTCTTCGTCATTTTGCTACAGTTTTCTGAATGATGAATTTTCGGTTGGATGGCACTTTAAAAGGGTCCTCAGTTTCCCGATTATCTGGGTGAATCATATTCGTATGACCTTAGTTGTCAAGAGGACAAAATCCCCCACACATATGTTACCAGACATAGAACATACTTCTGTAGGAACATATGTATACAAGAACAGATACAAATGAAACAAAATATAATCTTACGTATATGTGAATATCACTATATACTCATATATATCTGCATAATTTTTATCAGTGCAGCATATTCAGTCGGAACTACTGAGAACAACTGGAAGATCGATAGTTGATTTTACAGGAGAGAAAAATTTAAAACGTTTTATGTACAATTTTTTTTAATGATAATCATACATCAATTCGAAAACAGGCTGATAAAAATATTTTTGTTTTGGTATTTTTCTATGAAAGTTTAAAATAATGTCTTCTGCTTTCTAGTTTTCTTTGCAATCATTATGTACAAGAAAGATTGTGTGTTCTTTTATCCGTTTAATTACCATTTCGGTAGCACTGTCCTTTTAATCAAATGATCTACTCTTCTTATTTAGTGAATATCCGATAATTATATCAGCGATTCAAACAAAATCTCACGAAAAATGGGAATCATACCTCATTCGAGTTGTTCGCCGATTCAAAACCATGGAAGAATGAATTTGCAAAATTTAAGCTCTCGGCACAAATATATTTAATGTATTCAGCAGTATAACATTTAGATTATTTATGAAAAAATGCTCAACTTCAAATACTTATGTAGAATTAGACACAATGCAAAGTGAAGCAAATAATACAACCAAAATTGGTTAGAATAAATGTCAAAAATTCAGGTGGGGAAGTGCACAAAAGCCCCAAAATTAAATAAATTTTTAAAAAATTTCAATATTGGAGAATTTCAAAAGAACGTCAAGCATGCGTATATTCTGAACCGTCAAGTATTAAAATGAACTAAAGCGTGGCATGCTGGGTAAATTGAGCGTTGATTTGTTTTCCTAATGTTTTATGTCGGATGTGAAACAACTTTTCAAGGGGTATTTATTTCCACGTTTTTACGAGTATGCAGCCGAGTCAGTTGTAGGCACCTTATTAACCCCGAGAATAATAAATCACTCTAACAATATATACAAGTTGTATACCTCTCTATGTACCAAGAGATACAAATACCACAGGATGTGTATGCTCAGAGCCAATGTTAGCCAGTCTGATGAGGAAAATACGGCCAACCTGGATGCATTTGTTAGACACGGGATTCATCAAAGCCAATATACTATACACTTGTTAGATTCGTTAGTATTAATTCAAAACAATATATGATAACAGCAGTAAATCACGAAGATGTTTTGTTTAAATAAAATAAGAGACGGGTTAACCCGGATAACATAACCAGGATGATTTGAACGAAGAAACTTAATGTTTTGGTGGGGGTTTTTTATACGTTGATTCTAATGCTAAGCAAACAAAGCGGGACGAATCAGTATTGTACACCATTAACATGAATCAGGTAGTAGTGTAAGGTGGCCAAAGGGAGTGGACATATCGCTTATGTCAAGAAATGGCAATACACAGTAAACAAAGAAACATCATTTATGTCAGAGTAAACTACAAATTCCATTACGTTTGATAAATACTTCTCTGCTCATAAAACAAGCACGGAAATAGTACGTATTAGCTAAACGTCTGCTGTGAAGTAAACAGTTGATACACCAGATTGTACGAATGGCCGTCATTGTTGATAATATAGTAGCCATTTTGTTTGTCTATCACTTTTCCGTATCACTATTCACATACAAATCTAGTTTCAATGAGACAGACTCACTCCATCTCAAGTGCCTTGGAGTAGTTCTTCCATAATGGTGTTTACAATGTGGTAAGCGACCTAACATAGTGTTTATCGTGTTGTATGCGACCTTACAAGGTGTTCCCTCGACAGTTGAAATCTCAAGCTTGCCATATTAAATATTTGTCTCAAACAAATGACTTAACTTCTTTAGGTAGCTTTGTAGATCGTTACATCACCGTATACATGTCAGAATGCTGGCGAGTTCAGTTGAAACGATCAATGACAATTTTACTGTGTTGTTTAGAATTTATGATTTAAGGAAAAATAGGCAGATTTTTCTTTAATCTATACAACTCTATACAGTGTTGAACAAGTGGTTTAAATACGGTGGATAACATGCTGATGTCTAGACTTACATGTTAAAAGCTCTACACATAAAGAGCAAAATATATTCACTAAAGCCAAACCGAAGTAATCAAAAATTGAGTAGAAATAAGAAGTACTTGTACAATGTATTCATTTCCAGCCTGCCTAACAGACTGGTGTATGCGAACACACACTTGTATGTAAAACAGACTCCTCTAGGGTGTTAATAGACCCGTTATAAATGTCAACAACTCCGTGTTGACACGACCAGTACGGGACTGCAGCTTTTTCCAGGATATAGCTGTACACTGTCATACCGAGACCCATCTGACTTTGATTGGTTCACATCTCATACCATAGATATCCGAGATTGTAAAGCTTAACATTTGCCATTTTAACCGGTTTTATTTATTCTAAGTATCGCTGACAAATCTATTATTAACACGTATTTCCGGTAACCATAGTTTTCCTACGATTTCTTACATTTACCGAGCGAAATTATGACTTAAAAAAACACGTGCGTTTATTTAGGAATACAATAATGTAAGGAACAAAACAGTCACAACACACCCAATAACTAGTAGTAACTTTAACTGACCAACACTCGAGTTCTGTACCTGTTGTGTTGCGGTAATGATTGTTCCGGTTAATTGGTATAGTTAGGTCCTGTTACCTAAATCTATTGTCATGTTTGTCTGAAACGACATTATAACGACCAAAAGTGACGATGCGAACGGAATATGACAAGTGCTGCCGACAGGTATGCTTTGTAAATTAGTTACCTCAATCGGAGGAATGCTACTTGTGTACACCTGAATCAAGCACATTCAGCTTAACTCAAGTATACTACATTTTGTTTCTTCGCTGAGAATTTTTTTCAAAAATCAATTAAATCTCTTCCTGACTTTCACAATATGGTACATTTAAGACGATAATGATTTTTTTCTGTTTTTTCGATAGTTCTTTCAATTTTATTAAAAATTTCAATCATTATTATTTGGTTACCAAGCTTATGATGCTAATAACTTGCTTTGTCATTCCTTCATTAATCCACTAAAGTCTAAGTTCTCGTAACCTTGTAAACAGTATCGTGTTCCGTATGTACCCTTACTCTATTTAAGCTACAACTACTAAATATCTCCAGATAATCATCAAAAGGAAATTAACACTGAATAACCTATTGTTTTTGACTTCTAGAGTTGCACATATTAACATCTAGCTAACGACTCCGTTTCATTTTATAGTGTCAAGCAGTACAAGGTGGTCCGTACTTTATCATTAACAAGAGTTCAGGTCCGACTTTAAGCTGTTTATCTTTACACTACCTATAAAAAGACCGGAGACTCCACATAATTTAGTCTCTATTAATTCTGATTTATCGCCAGGCTTCATATACTGTACATCATACAATTTCTGGGTCAGAAAATACTCATATGCCACTCAATTTATTCTTAGGAATGTTATACAAAGATTTCGCCGACAGAGGTAATTCCGTTCACTCCCATAGATATTAAAGTCAATTTCTCATTCATACCATTTGATTAAAATTACTCTAATTGACAAGAAGTGCGGCAAAATGATCGCGGTTTCATCAATTTTATCCGTTTTATCTGTGAAACTATCTAATAAATACTCTGATTGTATCTGACATATTAAATGATGTCCAGAAATTAAATCTTAATCCGTCTCATGTTAAGGTTAAATACTTGGCATAAACGGATACTGTAATCTGTGTGTACTTACATGCAGTCATCTATCTATTTATAGTGAAACGTAAATAAAACAACGTTTGATTCCAAATCACGTTTTTAATAATATGATTGAAATCGTTGGCACGCGTTTAACGGGATCTATTTATATAATATATAAATCCTTCGTGATAACGGGCTCTATGGAGCGGATGTTTTTAGAAGATTCGCTGCCTTCAATATCCGTATCGTCTTTTCTTTTCTGGGCGATTGCTTTCTTCATTTAATCAAACTATATAATATAGCGCAGAAGAGATGTACTTGAAGTAGTCGCTAATTTTTCATGAAATCACCCGTGTACGCAGCACATGATTATTTTCCCCTCATATTTTGGCACTTCCATCAGGTAAAATTTAATTTTCAAGTCACATCGCACATCAAATGATTTCACAGTCAACGCTTATTTATATATCTGGTTTAATTTCCGTCACTGACCCGGCTCTGTTATAGAGAACGTTACCTTTGCTTTATATTCGGTGAAGTGATATATGATTTAATGCTACCTTCCAGGAATCTTTTCCTTTTAATTGTCCTTC